TTGCCATTAATGTAAGAAGAAAGGTAAGTCAGAGGAAAATCAACAGACATAGCAAGAAGCAGATCCAAACAAAGGTATCTTTGCCAAGATGTGCCTCTAGGACCTGTACTGGGGGAGAGGATTTCTTGCCAGTCTGTGAAAACCAGTGTATTAGCAGATGGTGACCTTTGGGAAGTAGTTGTGTGTGCTGGGCACAGAAGGAGCAGATGGCTCTGGGCAAACCTCAAACACAACATACTGAAACAAATTCATAAATATTCAGGGTGTAGTAAGGAGTCTAGGTCTGTGAACATTCCTCTTAGGGCAAATGTGGTGTGATGGGTCCCATCCTCTCTTTCTACTCTGCTTAATCCTTCCTTGCTGAACATTAGATATGATGATGCCATAGTCTGTGAGGTTATGCAGTGTAAGGAAAGGGGATATTTTGGAAACAGGTTATTGGCACAGGTACCTGGTCTGTACAGAGAAATGAAGAAGGGACTGTACAGGAAACCAGCTTTGACATTGTCTTAGCTTGTGGGGATTTAATATTTGCTTCGTAGTGGCTGAGTAACTTTTTGAGGTAGAGATGGAATGAAGAGTGTTTCTGAGGCCGTCATTATTCACGACTCTCCAGTGATGATAAAAGCATGAGGATACGCCATGTTGAATTCTTGCTCTACCTTTTTTTGTTTGGTGTTTTTGGACTCCTATGTTCTTTCAACTGGTATGTGCTTGTGTTATTGTAAATGAGTCTGCACTAGGAGTAGGTACCAAAAAACCCAAAAGAATAACCAGTCTTTTAGGCACCATTTATATTTCCCAGGAAAAATTAATCTTGTTTTGCTAATAGGTGGCTTTGTTGCCAGTTACAGGTATACCTGCAAAAACAAACAAAGAGCAGCATTTTCCATATTCTCCAGCATAAGACATACATATGTTATGTACAGAATAAGACAGATATATGACAGGCATATGTTATGTACAGGGTAAGATGGATCCTGCGTCCTTGGCTGCTTCATGCTGACCTCGTGAATAGATTTTCACAATCCAATCTTTGAGCCTGTCAAAGATATCTTGCTGATGTCAGAACTCTGAGAAGTTTGTTAGAGATCTGTTGGATCACTTAGTCCTTTCACTGTGGGTCTGTGCAGAATTACTTCTCGTGAAGTTTTTTCACTTAAAATTTTTCATTTATGGTGATATATTACCGGTTTATTTCTAATCTTTATGCCACACATTGTTTCCCCAAGGATCAATTTCTCAGGGCAGCCGCCACTGAGGGTGCTCTGCATTTGTGAGACTGCACTGAATTTTGGAGCCAAGAGGGGATGCATTATGAACCACTGGCTGGGATTTCGGTGATGAGTTGCTAAAAAGCATCTTTGTAGGATATGACCACATTTATGATTTAGTCATTAGGGATTATAGACATTTCCATTTCAAAACTAAATGTCTAGGGTTCCAGTTTTTTGTGGGTTGACCTTGGCTGGCTGCCATGTGCCCACCAAGCTGCTCTCTCTCTCTCTCCCTCCTTTGCAGGACAGAGGGAGAAAATATGATAAAAAAAAAACCTGGTAGGTCAAGCTTAATGGGAAAAAAAGTAAAGGTTGTGAAGAGAAATAAAGCAGAAAAAACGATTTATTCTCTACATCCCATCAGCAGGCAATGTCCAGCCACTTCCTGGGAAGCAGGGCCTCAGTACACAGAGCAGTTGCCTCAGGAAACAAATACCTTGATAACGAGTGCCTTCCTCCCCCTTACCTGTTGATGTCAAGTATGATATTTTATGATGTGGAATATCACAGTTCGAGTCAGCTGTCCTGGCTGTGTTACTTCCCAACCTCTCACCCACCTGCAGCCTTCTGGCCTTTGGGTGAGGTTGGGGAGACAGCCTAGATGCTGTGCTGGCACTGCTCAGCCATATCCAAAACATGGGTGTATTAAAAACATCATTCTAGCTACAAATGCAAAGCATAGCAGTGAGGCTGCTGTGAGGAAGGTTAACTCCATCCCAGACAGACCTGGAACAACAGATAAGTTTTTTTACAGCTCCTATACAGAATAGTCTTTTCTAATGTAAATTAGTTAAAGCAATTGAATTGCATTTTAATCTCTGATTTTGTAGTGACTCAAATTTTTTCTGGGTAAGAAAAACTTGAATTTTTAAATTGTCTAAAACTGGAGGTCAGTCAGCAGTTGTTTTCTCCCTTCTTCGTTCATATGCCTTCTTGATACCTAATAGGACTTTTTTGGACCCAAATTCTGAATGACTGATGGCATCTTTGTTATTTGATATTTTCTGGCAGGTGAGTTGTTTTTCCTGTTTTTTTTTTTGTTTTTGTTTTTGTTTTTTAAACTTATAATAACTAGTGGGTTTAGTGAGCTACATTTCACTGAACTGTGGTCTTCATGAAACATTACATTTCTTTGTGATTTTTATAACTTAAAACTACTTTTTTGATATTGGATAGCAAAATCCAATAATCCACATATTAACTCTGCTAATATTTAAAATACTTTTTAATGATTTCAGAGTAGGTGCTCTGAGGGATATAGTTAACCTTACTCCTGTGAAGTGATTTATTAATAGAGAATAGGAGCCCTTTTTATCTGACTAAAGGATTAAAATAAGGTGAAGTTAAAACTAGTTTCCCTTTCTTTTCTTCAGTTCCTTTGTAAGATGAATAAAGGTCATTTGAAGATAATAGCTGGTACATTTGGAACTAATAACAGGAAATGATCTTGCTAACAATAAGTAATCTCTCTCAGAGGCTGGGCTGAGCTCATTTCTCATTATAAGAGATGTGTTCCCTTGCTCGTAATTCTGGTAAACTTTAAGCAGTAAGGCTGAACATTTCCAGGTCAGCTGTCTGCATCAGGCCAAATTTGGAATTTTTATGCCAAATACACAGCTGTTTCCAAGGCTGAGACTAGAATAAACTTTTATTCACTTATTTAGGGCTGAGGAGTTGAAGCTTGCTGAGATGGAAGAGTCTTTTGTGTTAGGCATGTGTCCTTGGCCATGGAAGTCTGTCCAAATTTGGTAAGGTTTTGTATGGCTTCAAATAAAGAAAGTTCATATATACTCATAAGACCTCTTGCTTAGCATCAGTCAGTCTTGGAATATTATGTCCACTCAGTATGTTTAAGAAAGCCTCTGAGGATCAGTGGGAAGATAGAGCCATTTGGTAGAAGTAAAGGGAGATGACAGGCAATGGAAAAAGCATGTTTGAAAAAGGTATTTGAAGGGATCTAGCAAGAAGCCATGGAGATTTGACTTGATTAGTTTAGAAGCTCAGAGGAAGACAAAGTGATACCTGATAATGCTGGTCAAATGGAAGGAAAGGTGCAGAAGGGTTGAACCTGGGGGAGATGAACAGGAAGCCCATGCTTTACTCAAAAGTCTTAGTGGAAGTGCTGTTTCCTTAGTCTCAGGGTGGCGTGAAAACAATATACTTGCATGAAACCTACAGTCATTTGTGTATGAATTTTGGCTAGCTCTAAAGGTGGAACACAGGGAAAATGGTAGTTTGTTTCTGCAGTGATGTACTGCAGTGTCTCAAGGATTTGTATGATGGGCCTATTTATACACAATATGACTATATACACTAAAACTGCATTTAAAGCAAAAGCAAAGTTTATGAATATACACATGAAGATCATGATGGACAGGACAAACTGTGTTCTATAGCTTTGTGAAACTTTACTTTTGTGATCTAGGGATACTTTTTCCTGTTAATAACCATCATAACATTAAGTACTTGCTGGTGAAATAAGCCTAAGCCAACCTTGAATTACAAGTTTGGTGCATAAACTGGATTTTTGTTTGTTATCAGTTGTTTAAAGAATGCTGCTTTTGCACTACTGCTCTCCCATGTGTTGCAAAGTCTGGACATGTGTCATAAATAAAGCGGGGGACACAGGAAGTAAAAGGAAGTTGTTACGGATAAGGTAGCTGAATCCATGCATGGACATGTGGGTCCCCACACTGTCTTTGCTACAGAGTTTTGTCTGTGGTTCAACAGTGACTGAAGATTTTGAAGATTTCATCTTGTTTCTTTATGCTGAAATTGAGATCCCCAAGACTAATTTGCAGAAGTACTGGGTATTTATACAAATAACTTAAGTCCATAATTTGAACATATTCAAGTATTAGGAATCAGAGAGCAAACACCCTGAGATGCGTGTATGTTTTTGGAAATCAAGCTTTTTTCACCTGTGTTAGCGGGTTGTAGAAATGCAGATAATGCCATTCCTACTTTCCAGGGTGCATTATGCAGATGGATTAATGACTGTGATCAGAGCTATAAAAAGTTCCTGAGGAAACTAATATGTCTACCTTGATGGTAGGATTTGAATAGTCTCATCTGAAGAAGGATACAACCACATATGGAACCGTCTCTGCTGTGTACAGAATAAAGCAGTGGGCCTTGCCAAAGGGTAATAGATGAGTACCTGATCAAAGACAATATCCGAATGCGTATGTGCAAGAGGAATAAATTTAAGCTTGTACAGGCAGCCATTCCCTAACTTATGAATGTTTGACTTTGCAATATTCTAAATATTCTTTTAATGCATTATTTTTAAAATGTGTAACATGTTTTAGCTGGGGAGGAGACTGGTAGACTCATCATGAAGAGAGGCTGAAATACAAAACTGTGCATTAGAAAACCTCCAGATTTAGTTATAGCTATTTTTTGTGTGAAAATAAGTGCTTGATGCTGCATTGACATCTGTAGTTTTGTGGTTGCTACTCTCAGAATGAAATGACCAGGTGATCTTCCCATAGTTGCAGTCAATGTGGAGGTGAGCCCATGGCACCCTGGAAGAGGCAGTTGCTTGGGTACTTGCGAATTTTGTCCAGTTGCTGCCTATCTCTATCTGTGGATGAAGGCAGGCTTCTCCTTTAAGGGCTGAAAGCCTTTCACAAGTGCTTTATTTACAGTAAAAAAGAATTGCTAGAGGCACATTGTGGAAAATGAAAACAACCCTGTTCTTCTGTATTTTCTATTCTGTAGGTAAAATACAAAAGGGACTTTGAAGAAAGCAAAGGAAGAGGGTTCAGTATTGTGACCGATACGCCCGAGTTACAAAGACTGAAAAGGACTCAGGAACAAATCAGTAATGTATGTGACTGCCACCTGAAGTGATTGTAGATGGAGAAATAGTGTGTCTAAAGGCGTGTTTGTTGGTGTTTCTGATGAAGTCTGTGAGAGTGAAGAATCTGATTTTGGTGACCAATTTGTGTATGTCAGATTTTGAAGTGTGTGTAACCTTATGCCATGGACTTGTACAGCACATTGGCAATGTGTGTTCACCTCTCCAGCTTTCACCAAGTATGCTCAAAGTATTTTCTATACTAAAATGATTTGACACTTTTTTTTATAGATTTGCTAGCAAGTAAGAATACTTCTGTTACTTTTTATTTACATGTAAACTATATAATTCATATAAGCTATAAAGTTTTGTCTTTTTTTAGCAGGGGCTGTCAAAATTAGCGTAACTGGTAAGACGGAGATTTCTAGAAGCAGATAAAATTTTGATACTCAGTTTTAAAAGAAAATACATGTTCTGCAAGATGGGAAAAGTACGTCAAATAACAAAACGTAACCATGTGCTTCATTATCTTAAAACATGAATGCAGAATGCTTTCAGGAGCAGGATTTTTAAATGAGCCTTTCCCTGACTTACGTTTTCACTAGAAAAGTTATTTATTTATATCATATTCCCTTGTAGCATGTTTAACTCACTGCATGATGGAATATTGGCCGATACATAGTGCAAGTTATGATATGTGTGAAATAGGTAGGAACTAGTTTGACCTAGCAATGATACAGAACCAATACCAGTAGCTTGTCCTGGCTTCCATCTTGATTATTCTTCGGCTGCAAGAAATTGTCTCCATAGAGTATTTTGGGAATGATTTTTATCATTCCTTGTAGTAATAAAATATCAGCATGGAATTGGATCTACCCAGTGTAAGTATGATCAGAAGAAAATGACGTTTATTTACTTGGAAGAAAAAACTTTTTTCAGGTTGGGGTGTTATTGTAAAAGAGAGTAATTGAAAAATACTTGTTTATCACAGCAGTGGAGATGTACCATTCTTGCTAAAGCATCATTAGTTAAGATTTTGATGTCCAGACCTGGTCTTTGAGGTGAAAAATTGGGGCTCATTTCCTGGTGCCTGGGCCAATGGGGAGAACAGTTAATTTAAGAGCTGTGCAAATGCTCCTGTGTATAGATAAGATGAGAACAAGAGCATGTATCTTATGTTAATGATGAGGCTAACTGAAATTTCTGGTTTATGAGAGAAAGATGTATTCTTCAGAGTGGCAAAAAGCATGGCCATTAAGACTTCCATTTAGGATCTGTGAAACTTCAGTGAGTCCCTGGTTTTAATCAGCTATATTTTTTATTCAGACCAAGAACTTAAACTAGGTCCTCTCATAACCTACATAGCTTCTTCAAGCAAGAGTGATTCTTTTGCATGGGATAGTTCTGGAATGCATCAAGGAGATGAAACAAGCAATGCTCTGACGAATACTTAATCCCCTGCATGGGTCTGCTTTCTGAGGAGAGGCTGAGAGGAGTAGCTGGCAGCAGGCTTCTGATACTCAGTTTTGGATATTAGCATGGCCAAGAAATTTAATTAGATCTCCCAAGTACCCTCAACATCAGAATATAGAATAGTATGACACAGGTCACTTGCATACATTTTCTCTCACTTTTGTTCAAAACATTTTGGGTTTTCTGTTGTGGGAAAGGGGGAAAATAAAAACAAGCAAGTAGGTTTGTGAAATGGGAAAGAATTTTCTTCCCACCTCTATTTTTGATGGGGACACGGGGGTTTCTCTTCTAGCAGAAGACTTTGTCGCACAATTTATGATACTGTCTGGCTCCTGCACCAAAGATACTTACCTGCCTTTTCAGACCCAGAAGCAGATTTTTAAATGTGAAAAGTGTTTGATTTTTGTTTGTTTCCCCTCCACCCCCCAGTTTTTTTTCTTGATGGTTGGATGTACCACTCCTGTCTCTTTATTCCTAACCACCCAGTCTTAACAATATAGATTTGTTCCCTTCAGTCTTAACAATACAGAGTTGTTCCATTCAGTCTTAACAATACAGAGTTGTTTTCTTTTCTTGATGTACATAGCTGATAGAGATTCCAAGTCACGGACTCTATTAGAAATAATCGATCTTGAAGGTTAAAATGGAATTTTAAAATGTGCATGATAAAAGAAATTGAATTTCATTTATGCTTACACAAAAATAATAATTTGGTTTGTAGCATTATATCCTAGAAAGATAATTCTACGTAGGCTACAACTTGAATCTAATTAGAAAACTCCTGTATTATACAAGTGCATTCCACACAGAGTAGTTTCTGTATTTATCAGATAAGCAATGTATGCCATGGACTAAGGATCTATTTAAGGTTTCAAGACACTGCAAGGTAAGAACTTTAATAATTCTAAAATAATTTTACTTTTCGTATATAGCGAAATGGAAGAATACTAATACATATATTTAATTTTCAGTTTTGTTTTGATTTCACCTTGACGTATTAGAAACCTCTCAAAGACCCCTATTTGAAACAAAATTGTAACAACTTCATTGAAGGGGTAAGTGAGCACAGTTAAGTGTTTAGCTATTCTTGATGAAGATAAATAACAACATAAAGTATAAATAACATTATCAATGTTATTTAGCAGAAATCTTTGTAAAATATTGTCTTTTTGTCCTAAGATAAGTTTCGCAGCATACATGAATATTAATGCAGTGCTCCAACTTTTTGAAGAATGCTATCAATATAAACCTTGTGAGGAAAAAAAACAGCAAGGGGAATGGGAGGGGAGAGTGTGTTGGATTTCAGTTGCTCTTTTGCCACCAGCAGTCCTGAACACCAGAACAAATTTGTGGAACTTAATTTGTGGCTTGATGGATGCATCAGGACCAGAATGAATTTTCTTAGAAAAGAATGCAGTTTATCCCTGTGCCTAAAAGCCTAATTCTGCAGATGTACAACATGCTTGTTGGGAAGAATCATAAAGCCTCTCCAGGATATGCAGGTTCAGCTGCCCCAAACTACTAGTGTTACAGCTTCCTACCATTGAGTTAACTTGAAAGGTGTAAACCACACATACTAGCATGCTAGTTTAGATTGATGTAGGGAAGGCTGCACAAAGTAGGCAGCTTTTTTTGCTGATGAGTTTGCAGGATTTTTAGCACCTTTTGTGTGGCCAAACAGGCATTCTAAAATTTAGGTATTTTTTACAAATTAATATGTGTGAAAATATTTATAAATATTACAAGAAGAATATATGTTGGTAAGTATTATAAAAGCTTATTAGTATTTTTTCAATTATTCCAAATATAAAATAAAATATAAAATTTCTGTCACTTCTGCTATAGATGTCACTGTTTCTTGGCACTGTATATGTACTTAATACATACAAAATTTATACTGTTCACACACACTGTGCTAATTTTGTTAAAGAACCTTGTAGTGTTTTCTGTCCACTTTGAGAGGATTTTCTATATGAATGCATAAATTGTCAAAATGAAAAAAATACCACATAATTTTATAGGTGATTTTGCTAATAAGCTGACTGTAAGCTGATTTTGCAAGGAAAAAGTTTAGGTAGCAAAAGGAATAGAATAATTAAAGAAGTTGTCAAAAGTGTATTTATTTATCTATCAATAAATATCATAACACATGGCTAAATGAAGAACTGGGAACTCAGTCTAATAATATTTCCTTTGGGGAAATGGAACACTTTCAGCAGTTTGCAGCAATGAGCTGCAGCTTACTGCCACTGCACTTTTATGTCCAGATATATGGCTTGAAGCATGTTTTATCCCATGTGAAATAAGTTGCTCTTTCTTAAATCTGTTCCTGGTAAATGTCTGCTAAGTATAAAGCAAAACAGGTGTCCATACAAATTGATGGAGTGAGAAGCTTTCATTAAGACAAAGGCCAGTGCTTCGATGGTAGAGGTTGCTGGCTTGGTTGTATGGCTGGAAGGGTGCATGGAAGCTTTCACAGTGGTTGCCCTCATTACATTGAGAGCCTATGAAAGCATTTCTTACTCCCACATTCATGCTGTTATGAACTTCTGTCGTGTGGGAGCAAGAAGCGGTACACATTTGTGCCCTTCTTCCATTTGAGGGCTAGCAAAATGGAGTTATGCAGTTCATTTATATGCGTGTGACTTGTTTCCCATGAGGTTTGGATTGTGTACAAAATGACAGCTATAGCTTAAGGTAAATAAAGGAAAACAGATTAAATTAGTTTACAAACCACATTTCCAAGGTATCCTATTTTGGTGAAATATTTAGTAAGGGCAGTAGAGTTGGTAAAGAGAAGGTCACTGAATCACCCTGGGGGGCTCCATGTGTGTGTGTTTGTCTCTCCCCCATTTACCAGGAGCCTGTATTGGAGGCAGAGAGAGAGCAAGAGCACATGAAAATCTTGTAACATTCTCAAAAACATTGTATGTGAATTTGCATGAGAAAGGCTATGTATTCATTGGCTTTAATGAAATATGGAGCCTCTTTTTCTTTTTTTTTTAATTCTATTTTTTTTTTTTTGAAGTATCAAGGGTCACATTTTACCTCCAGTTAAATTTATAGAACTCCAGGGGAAGCAGCAGAGGACAGGATTTCCCTCATAATTTGAATCAACTAAACACCTATTTTCTGGAGAAAGAAAAAATGATAAGGAATTGGGTACTACCTCAGAGATGATATTAATATGTCTTCATGTAGCAAGTAACGGAGGAAACTAACAACTTTTCTTCTGTACTTGTGCACATCTGCACATCCGAAATTAGAAACTGTCCCTAGCAGACATTGAGCCATGGATCTGTATTTAGAAGCTATTGACACAGTTGTTCAACCTGTTTACTTGCTCAAATATAAAATGGTCTCTTAAATTGCCAAAACAGATTGTAGAGAAAATTGGCAGGAGAAGATGTTAACAACAAGGCCCGGAGCTCCATTTGTAGAATTCACAGCATACAGCCTGCAGATACTCGTCTCTAAGGGCTTTTCTCCCTTTACTGATTTCAAGTGAAGGAGAAGAAGAGCATGAAATGGAATAAGAAAAATTGACAACATCATG